CATCTCCACCAATTCTTCACACACCGTATCTGTCTGATTTTTCTTCTTATCTCTGTTTAACTTTTATTTTTTAATGTTTCACATCAGAGTCAACTATTTTCAGGATGAAGACCACTGCACCTTTGCCTGAGATGATATCCAGGCATGTCACTTCAATTTGTTGTCATGTCTCCACAGTGACTCCTACAGAACTGTTTTGGGCAGTCTGCAGGTCTGCACTCGACGCGTTATATCCACTACATTCTAATCTTGGCTTCATGCTTCCATATAGCCATAACTAAGACTTTCATTTTGGAACTGAACATGCTGCCTATGGATAAGCGCTGAATGTTTTCTAAAGCGGCGGCTTTGATGCAAGTTTCCTTTAACTACACAGCAACATTATAAAACCACTGACTTGAGCTCTATATGACTAAAGTATTAGGAGGATACTCACTATATGTCTCATTATGTAGAGACTCGTAGTTTTTACACCATGAAATTACCAATGTTGAACTACTCCTGTCAATAATTTCGCTTTTTCTGTTCTGCTTCTATCAAGAAGAGGTTCACCGTCTCCCTCTAGCTCAGTTAATCGTCCTCCTCACATGAGCTCCCACTATTCTGAAAACCCTGAAGGAATGTAATCTGTATATTTTATTGTTGATAGCTGATGCGCTGATCCTTTATAATATCTCCTTTTATCAGTGTTGCTTTATAAAAAAAACCAACATCCTGTCATTATTATTGTACTACTATTATTTCTTCTGTTACTCGTGGTGTTTTACTTATTTGATTTGATTTTTGGGGGTGTTCATTTTAGACGATGCTCTGCAAGAACTTGTTAGACAAATGTTTGTGGCACGGGTCTTCAAAATTTCTTTAAAATTAAGGGTTCTCTCATCAATTTTGGTTCAAAATACGGGAAAATCTAAATTGTTATGTGTAAAAAGGAAAAAAAAAAAGACTTTTGTTCACAATCTTATTTATTAACAAGTCAATTAGTGGCTGCAAGGTAAGACTTCCTGCAATGTATATTTTGTTAAAAGCTGTTCAGTGCATTTTGGAACCATCTTAGTTCTTTTGTTTGTTTGTTTGTTTGTTTGTTTGTTTTGGTTTTTTTAAAGATAAATGGCTATTTTTGTTCAGTCATGAGATGACTTAACTGCTTTGGAATATATTCCAATAAAGACTTTAATTTTGAAGAAATAAATACATCATGGCTAAAAATTACTATGATGAGCTCTAACTTTTCCTCGTTTATATTCACAGCGGAAACGGTTAAGTAAATATGTTGTTGTTTGTTTGATCTTTTACATCATCATTTAGCAGGAGCATCTACAAGCAAAAATCTGAGGATCAACAGGCCTGAGTAATTCTGAGTTAACCAAAAGTAATATGCATGTTTCACCTTAATACTTTTGAGGCATATATAATCACGTACAAAAGTCTTTATTGCTCATCTCTTTATATTTTAAGAGGAAAATTAGAAATGGATGAAATGCAAAAGTAGAGTATGAGGCAAAAACAGAGTTTGTACAGTTCTAATGAGGTTGAACGTCAATATTCGGTATGACCACCTGATCTCTCTGAGCCTAGGTTTCTTGTAATTTTGTTTAATCAGTCTTCAGGAATAGTTCTCCAGGCTTCTTTAAGGACATTCAAAGCTTTTCTTTGGATGTTGGCTGCCTTTTGTTCTGTTATCTATCGACATGATCCCACACTGCTTCAATAATGTTGACCTCTGGGCTCTGGGGAGGCCAATCCATGACTGATAGTGTTTCATTGTGTGTCTCTGGGTTTGTTTGTTTTTTGTCCATCCAGGTACGCTTGTACTGCATTGGCAGTGTGTTCTGGATCATTGTC